ACTGGCAGTGTGATCTACACAGAGTCCAGACCCAGTGACGGCTATTATTATGCTCCAAAACCAACACAGAGCCCACAGGAGCTTTCCATGTCTCATTAACGGGCACTGTGTTCTGGCCGTATCACAAGCTCTTTTGCCCTGTACCTGTGGAAACAAAACAGTGGATTTCACTTACCTCCATCGTAAAAGCGGACAAAAGCTATTGTGAGTGCACTCCAATTATTTTCATTTTCTACTTTCTAATTCACAACAGTGATTTTGCTGCAGATACTGTGTTGCAATTTACTTGTGGAACTGACCCTTCATCTGAAAGGGTTTCCCTTTCTATATTTATAAGGATACATTTTTGCCATCTATTTGTGGAACTGACATCTCTCTAGCCCGATAGGAAAACCCTTTTTCCTTTTCATATACAAACAAATCGGTTTCAACATATAGGGGTGCCCAACCTACTCTATTCTAATTCTGTTTGAAATGTATTACTACTAGCTGAGTGCTGTTCTATGTATTTGTTTATAAATGCTTGTCTGTTTTTTTATATATGCAATTTATAATACTTTTTTTAAATTAGTACAAATTAATTAAATTTTACTGACACTTGCATAATTGAATGAATGGTGGGATCCCCTTTATTTGGGGTGCTTTTTCTTTGTTTAAACTATTGAAATAGGGGACCCACCAGGAATTACTATTTTTTATATAGCATGTATTTGTAAACCTTTCTTCCCCATTTCTACATATCTGCAACTTTTAATTAAGCATGGGGCCCGAATTAGTAGGGTCTAGAAAGCGATTCTTCTTAACCTATGTTCGGCAATTCACCAGTTAGAGATTAAGCATAAGAAGACATTATTGGACTAGCTTGCTTCAGAGTTGTTTTCCTGTGTTGGCAAGTTAATTATTTTAATTTGTACAACGCCAAAGCAGCCATTACGAGTTGTTAGAGGATGTATTATGGATATGGGGTTAAGCAGTGCGGTAAGCTCTTAGCTAGGGTCCTGAAGGATCAAGGGCTGTTTTCCTATGTTCCACATTATAGCTACTCAGAGGGGGGCAGGATTGCCTCTCAGAAGATACCGCCAACACTTTTGAGGATTATGATTCAAAGTTATATAATTTCCACCCTACTCCTACCTCCTCGAAAAAAAAAAACACTCAAGGCCAGGATCGAGTAGTATCTTCACTAGGGCAATTTGCCCCCTCTAGACCAATCTATATATGCTCCCTTGAATTCCCAGTTGATGACATCACAGGTAGATGACATCAAACTTGAGGCAAACTCAACTAAATCAGTTAATCAGGTTGTTATATAAATCCTTGATGGCTCAGATCAGTCATACCCAGAGAAGTTAAGGATCCAGCTTCTTACGCAAGCTTACTGCCCCATCCCCCCTTCTTAACTCTGATCTTAACATGCTTACTAAGATTATCGCTACTATGTTACCTTCACATTTGCCCTCTCTAATATACCCTGAGGGTTTGTCCTGACTCGAGAAGCCTGCTACAATACCATCAATGTCATTACACTGATTTACACTGTTCCCTCTTCTTTTGTTGACTGATGACAAGAAGGCTTTTGAAATGGTGAAATGTCAGTTTATTTGAACAGCCTTGAAACATAGTAGTCTCGGTGAGAAGATGTTGAGTTGGGTCAATGCCATCTACTCTATCTACTCCATTTACTCTATCTAAACAGCATATTGTCAGATAAATTTTAAATCTTAAATGGCATAAAACAGATGCCTCATATCTCCTATTTTATTTGCCTTGATGTTGAAGCCCTTCTTGTGGAGGGTCCATGACCATCTGAATGTTGCAGTTATCCGGTCTGGAGACTGACAGTATAAGTTATCTGCTTACTTGGATGTCCTCTTACTATCCTGTTAATCTCTCTTCCAAACCTCACACGTGAATTCTAGTTGTATGGACAATTGTCGAGCCTGAAAGTGTATTTTTATAAGACAGGAGATTATGGGGAGGGTTTTGTTGTCCGCTAACCAAAGCTGGCTTGCTCCCCAATTTCAAATTTAAATGGACTACAAAGGCATTCAAGTACTTGGGTACTTGTATCCCACTGGATGGTAAAGATATTTTCCCACTTAGACTCCCCACTCTCCTCCAGCTGGTTTTGGTATTACTAATGAAATGACAGTCCGGTATGTTTTACTGGATTGGTTGCTCCAATATAATTAAGATTACATTTTACCCAAGTTTCTTGTACATTCTTCAGACCCTTCTGGTTCACATCCCTTGTATGTATCTCTAACAGTTAAAACCAGTGCTCGCAAACTTTGTGGGCCCATCGCCACCCTAGACTGGAGCTTTCACTTCTTACATTGCCAAAAATATTTGGAGGGATGACTCTTCCATATCTGACAAAATATCAGATTGCCTACCATTTAGTGAGGCTCCTTCAGTGGTGCTGGCATATCCATCTTAAACAATAGGTCATTTTGGAGGACTCTGGCTAGGACCTCTTGGTGTGCCTCCTCCAGAACTGATAAATGACCCACTCATTGGCTCTAGGATTCATACATGTGCCAAGACTTTTTGCTCAATGGGATTTATCACATTCTCTTATAGCCACTCATTGATAATCTGGATTTTACACCTGAGATTAATATGGACCATTTTCCGCTCTTTGTAAACAGCCATTCCCTGTATCACTCTCTGCTAGGCATGTTGTGGCCTTCTCTCGCATATCTAACTAATCCTGAAGGACCTTTTGGCCTCAATTTGTGAAAAGCTTTACAATAGTCATTGTTTGCAGACTTTACCGCTGTCGAGAGACTTTCGGCTACAGCTAACGCCTTTTGAGAAACTTTGTAGTAGTCAGGGACCCCATTGGCTTACCTTGTTTATTGCCGTATGCTTCTCTCTTCCCTGAAACAAAATGGTAAAGCGTAATTTCTGCAGCAGTGGGGGCACGAGCTCCAGGCATCCTCTACAGATGATACACTTTTCACTTAAATCTTCTATCTGCACGAAGTATCAGAAAACTAATTACAAGATAGTTACTAGATGGTACAGGACTCCAGTGGTTTTGAGTAAATGTTACCCTGGGGTCCCTAATGTCTTTTTCCCTTCTCATCTTTTCTGACTGTTTTTCACTAGTGTTGCATTTGGCTAGAGTCAGTGTCACTCCTGGTAGCATGAGGCGATACCTGGACTCTATAGAGTTTGCACAGGCATGCCAACTCCTCCAGGATGGCACATAACTATGTGCCATTGCCAGAAGGTTTGCGGTGTCTCCCAGCACAGTCTCGAGCGTGGAGGAGATTCCAGGACACAGGCAGTTACTCTAGTTGAGCTGGACAGGGCCGTAGAAGGTCCTTAACCCATCAACAGGACCGTTATCTGCTCCTTTGTGCAAGGAGGAACGGGATGAGTACTGCCAGAGCCCTACAAAATGACCTCCAGCAGGCCACACAATTTTTTGAGCAGTGCACTTACTGGTCTGATCCAAACAGATCACATAGGTTAGATAGTTGACAGGCAAGAAACACTACTCATAGATTAATTGATTTTGATAGACATTGCGAACCGTTTAAAAGATGTTTTTTAACTGGATGCAGAGTACACTCTCTCTACTCTGCTCTAGACCCCACTAGCAAACTTAAGCTGGTCACAGTCACTTCAACACCTAGCAGCAGCTGCTATCCAAATCAGTTTTCTCCTCAACAGAGTTTTGGAGGACCCCATCCGGAAAGGAGGTGTGGGGCTGGCCTGCAATGTACTATGGGACTGGATCCTGCATGTTGCACTAACATTTGTGCAGTGTGTGCGGTTACCACAGGGTGCTATACAGGTCCAGTAGTTCATTGCGTTGGAGCCATGTCCCTGAAGACTCCATTCTTGGGGCATGTTCACCAGGCGGACATAAATCAGATAGGGTATGCCCCATTTAAATGTTTGCAGTGCCTGTTGCCCTGAGGGTAAAGTAAGCCATGGCTACTTCCTGCTGGAGTTGCCCACAGTAGCAGCCTCTTATCCATGTAAGTGTAAACTCTGGGATTTGGGGGGCTCAGGACTGCTGCATCTTCTAATTTTTTTTTAATTTGGTACCAAAAGCAGCCTGTGAAGCTGCATGGAGTTGTCTGCTGTTTTATTTCTGGAATGCTCTGAGCTGGCCACACACTGTTATTGTAATTCTACAATACTGCACATGGGGTTCAGACCTCTGCCCTGCTACAACGGGTCACTGCTTCTGCCTGCAGTGTTGGGACACAAAGTGCCCTTCAGCTTGGGGTTTCTTCTAAAGCAGTGGCAGATCATAAATGTGGGGATGTATGGGCGGCAGGCTCTGGGGCTACACAACCTGATAATAGTTCTGTGGCAGGTTCTGTAACCTCTTTGTAAACTGATTCTGGTAACCCTATATTATGCTTTTTTCAACGCCTGAGGGTCTTCCTCTGCACTCTTCAGGACACCATCCTCTACCCTGCCATCTAGAGTGGAGTTTGCCTCAGTATTTATGGGGAAATGTGTGATCTATTGGAGTCCTTAGGCCATAGGGGGCACAAACCTTTGCAGTGGATTCCCTGGTGACTCAGTGGGATCAGTTCAGCCTGATCTACATCAAATCTTCTGTGAAACGTTTGCTTTGCCTTTGCGGGATTAAGACTAAGGACATTTCAGTATCCTCATTTTTCCCAGTTAGTCCAGGAAACCGTGGTACTGCAGACGTTTTCAAATTCCTGGCAAACTCTCAGTGGGCATTATCTGTGATCCACTCTTGTACTGCTTGCTACAAAACAAGGCAGGCTGAAAGTAGCTGGCGTTACAGTGCTGCCCTTAGAACTTTTGTTTGCCTGTGTCCAATCACTTGAAGGTAGCTGTGTAACCCGTTGGTTCCAGATTTAACTCCCTGTGTCCTGTGAGTACTTAAACATATTTTGCAGGTAAGATGAAGTCCTGTCTTCCTAAATATTTTTTTTTAAGACCGTACATTTTTAATGTTTGTTTTAATAGTTACTTTCTTTTTAATTGTATCAAATTAGAGACGGTTTAGTTATTCTGGCTGCTGCCTGGCATCCTGGAGATAACCCTTGCCTGATCTATTACACCCTTGTGACTGTAAAGGATGAAGGTTACAACTTTTCTGATGAAGTTAACATTGAAGTCACTCAGTTCAACCCACTGTTTGAGGTGAGGTTTTTCAACTTTATATATTATTTGATTACTTATAAATATCTTGTGCTTCAGATATTACCGTTTTTGTCATGCTTACATATTTTGGTTTATTTTAATTTGTGATGGTTTCAAGCAATCTGTTTTGTTTTTAACAATGTATATTTTGATTTCTTATCAGACATCCTGTATAGTACAGTGGATAGTTCCCACCTTTTTATAGTGTTTCTCTAGTACCTTGAGTTGATTTGGGTACATAGGTATATTTGACAATGGTGGTTGGGTGGAACATTACCGTTCTGCTGGTATCACTATAAATATGCAGTTTACTCTGCCTATGTGCATAGTAATCCACATATATTGGTGATGTTGGTTGCCCTGCTTCCATAGTCAAATACTAGAGGTGCACCGAAATGGAAATGTTAAAACCGAAATAAAAAAATGGTCAGGCCGAAACCGATACCGGAAATGTTTTTATTTTAATTTTTTTGTAAATATTTTTATGTATTCATTTTTTATTAAATATTTTTATTTTACTTTTAGGGGCTTCGGGGAAATATTAGGGGTCTTAACAGACCCCTGATATTTCCCTTTTAAAATAGAAAAAGAGATTGAGGACACACAGTACGCAATCTCTTATTCTGCAGCCCTGTTATAAATGAACAGGAATCCTCTATACTGAGTGTTCATGTTCATTCATAACATGAAAACACAGGGGTGTGGAATTCCTACCGCCCGACGCCCGGGACAGGCAGTTTCGGGCGCCGGGCGAGTAGTTTTTTAATACATTCAGCCCTGCTGCGGACAAGCAGAGCTGAATGTACAGTGGGAGCCGCCGCTCGTTTTCATACAAGTGATCTAACAACATTGAGTCGGCTTCCCTGGTAGTCAGGAAGCCGGGTAGCATCTCATTACCCGCTGCCTAGCTTCCTGATTGCCCGGGAAGCCTGCTCCATGCCAACGGGTGAGTACTTAAGGCAAAATATTGGTACTCGATACCCAAAAACTGGTATTGGTTCATCCCTAGTTTTAAACTTTTAAAACTTTTTTTGTTGTATTGGGACAAGTAGATTGTCATGAAGGACAAGTAGATTTGACCCCCGCTTTAGCCCTTGGACAAGTAGTTTTTTCAAAAATGCCCACACCCCTGGAACAGTGTATGTTTACTATAACTACAACTATGAATGGAACAGGAGGTGATGCAGATCAGTGCTTCTTAAAGTGTGGGTCGCGACCCCATATGGGGTCCCACAAGGGAACAGGGGGGTCGCAATCTGAGTCCCCGGCCAGGACCGCCATCAGGGGGGTACAGCTGGTACTTGTGTGAGGGAGGCCTGGGCTCCAAGCAATATTTATTTTTCTTTTCGTTTAATGTGGAGTGTAGTGTAGTTTTAAAGTCGCATACCCCCCACCTCTGTGCACTTGGTACCTTCCTGAACACGTGCATGCAGGAAGGTTTTTTTGGTTTTTTTTTTTACATTGACAGAGCTTCCTTTAGCCCAACAGAAGTGGAGCACAGCTGCTGGAGGTAAAGATAAGGAGGGAGAGGGGGCTTAGTAGTAGGTGGTAATGACACACTACTCAATTATCTACAAACACTCAGCGATCACTGAGTGTTTGCACTTGCTCTCCTCTCTGACAAGCTGTCACAAGAGGCTGAACGAGCGGTGCAGGGAGGAGAGCCCAGCCTCCTGTGACAGCGTGGCCTGTCTCCGCCCACACACCGCTCTGTCGGACTGTGATAGGAGGCTGAGCGGTGTGGGAGGAGAGACACCGGCCTCTCACAATGCTCTCCTCCCGCAGCGCTCTGCCGGCTATCACAGTTTCTCTCCTCCCTGCTGGGACACAGAGCAGTGCCCAGCGGGGAGGAAAGAAAGCAGGGAGGCACCGATGTATCGGCAGGAAAATGGCACTTTCGCCATTATGCCAAAAGTGCCATTTTCGGCCGATAAATCGGTGCATCTCTATCAAATACCTAAACATGTTAGTGATCTAGATGAATATTAAATACCTATCTTTTGACTTGACCTTGTAAGAAGAAGGGAGTGCTCACATAAGGAGGATACCTACTACTTAAGGAAGCTTCTTATGAGTGATTGAAAGTTAACATCTTATTTAGGCCCCCCTGTAAAGGAGCCAAAACTTTAAAAAAAGTTCTAAAGTCACAGTATATTCCATCCTGTTATAACATCTGCATTGTAATAAAATACATACTATAGTTGTTTTTGATAATGCAATCAAAGTTTACTTGAAAAAATATATTTTTATGTTGCGAGTGCTGAAGTTCCAGCTGCTGCCCCTTTATCAAGTCGGTGACAGATTTAATATAACATAATCATTGTAAGAAAATATCTATGTGGTGCTGCTCTGGACTATAGTCACGTGGTGGCTCCTTTTTGGTCTGTTTGGAAGCATTTTGTTATTTGATATTCCTGCCAGAAATGTAGAGCTGTTCTCTGCAGACTTTTGTGTTTTATCTAAAAGAGCCCTCCTAGTTGTTGTTTTGGACTACAGAATGATTAAGCATGTCTACATTCTGATCGCCAAAACAAAGGTAACAGTGATATTAAAGTAAGTAAAAAAATAAAAATAAGTTTCACATGCTGATGCAATCACTTAAAATTGATGCAGCCCTTTGACGTTTAAAAGTTTTAGCTTCCTTCAGGATCAGCTGGTCCCCTGAGCACCGGCCCTGATATCCTGTTTTAGAGTGGCTCCTTTCCATTGCATGGTCCTGTGGAGCTATTCTTGTGTGCTGGTAAGCTGTGTAGGTCTCTACAAACACACAGGCAAAGCAGGGCAAACTGCTCTCCGCTCCTCCCACTCTGGTCCTTCTCCTTCCTCCCTTCTCCAAGCTAGTAGATGGACAGCTGCTGGAGACTGCACTGTCCTTTTTTTTTTCTCTCTAAAGATTACATTTTTTATTGAAAGCTAGTAATTATAGACAGAAATAGTTAAAACAAGAAAAGCAAAACAGGTATAAGTAGACAACATGTAGGTAAAATATGTAGATGCATATATCAAACGCAATATCCATGATTCGCCTAGCAGGTAAGCCTGGGGAAAGCATTACAGGAAATTAGAGTGCCAAATCGTGGGGGTCATGGACCTTGGGTAGAATAAACTTTATCAAAATAAAAGGGAGAAAATGTATGATATAAAGAACAGAAAAAAATACAAGAGAAAAAGAAAAAAAGTCAAAAAAGGTAATGCATGGAAAGAGAAGAAGGCAACAGAAATGGGGGGAAAAAGAACATATACAGGGGAATAAGAAACAGTAGAGAGAGAAGAGCACATGGGAGAGAAGAACAAATAGGAAAAAAGAAGTGAGGAGAGTAGAAGTGGGTGTGCACTGAAAGTCTCCATTCAGCGTGATTACCTGAATTTGACCTAGGAATAAGGATAGGACTGTCAGGTGTCCGCTTGAGGACTTCTTCAGTGGTACAAAAATTAAGCCACACACTCTGTACCTCATAAAACTGGGAATGGTGATCGTATAGACCAGGGGTAGGCAACCTTGGCTCTCCAGCTGTGCTGAAACTATAAATCCCATAAGACATTGCACACCACAGGCATGACTCCCAGAGTCAGAAGCATGATGGGATTTGTAGTTTCAGCACAGCTAGAGAGCCAAGACTGCCTACCCCTGGTATAGACTGGCAGTAAGTTCCTCCATCCTACAAAGGAATTGCATTTCATCAACTCATTCCTTCAAAGTGGGACTTATGGAGGATTTCCAATGTCTCGGTATGGCAGCCGTTATGAAAAATTGAAGTAAGCCTTTTTTTGGTAGACTTAACCCCTTAAAGACCAAGGCCTTGTTTTCTTTTTTGCACCTATGTTATAATCCACATTTTAGGCCTGAAAATTACTTAAAACCCCCAAACGTATATTTTTTGAAAGCCAAGACCCCATAGAAGAAAATGGCAGTTGCAATTTTTGATGTTGCAAAACATTAGCACCGCTTACAGCAAACCCAAATTGTTTTCGAAAAATGCAGTTAAGTTAAATTAAGTGCCCCAAAAACGATATAAAACCATTTTTTTGCACAATGTAAAAGATGAAGTTTACAACGAGTAAATAGATACCCAACATACCCAGGTTAAAAAGTGTGTGCATCCGTAAAACTGCAACATAATTCAGTACCCCAAAAAGTCCATACACAACACTTTTTTAAAGCCCCCACAGGTCATCAGTTTAGAGATGCATGTAAATATTGACCTTAGAATTATTGCTCTCACCCTGGTGTGCACGGCAATACCCAACATGTGTAACACAATTATCGGTTTTGTACGTAGGCACACCCTAAGCGTGTATTCGTGATGACGCGCATGCTCGCAGGGGGTGGGGGACTTTTCTTGTGTACATTGAATTTATTTCATCTTATTTTGAAAACTTTTTTTTTTAACTTTAATTGCTATCACATAGACGGGCTTACAAGCCCCACATGTGATAGCATATTGGTGGTGATGCTGGGGGTCCAAAAGACCCCCAGTGTCACCTTTTACACTTGAAATGAGCTGTTGAAGTGCAGATCACACTTCAATAGCTTATAGCTGGGCTTCAGGAGCCCAGCACTGACAGCTATGGGACCGGAAGTGATGTTCCATGGTACAGGGAGGGAATCGGCGGATGTTCACCGCTCTCCTCCCCCGCTTCCTGTCGACACCCTGCAAGCCGGTCCCAGGCCCGTAGTAGGGCAGCTGAGCCCAGAAAACAAGGGCTGGCAGTTACCGGTTCGTAGAAGCAATCAGTGGCAGCTGAGCCGCCAGAATTGCCTCTACTGTAAAGCTGGTCGCTAGCTTTAAAAAATGGAACAGACTCAGCCGCCGGGACTCTGTGTAACCCCTTCTGGTCGTGAAGTGGTTAAGGGATCCCGGTAACATGGAAAGAACGGCTGATTGTGGGGAACACTCAACCCTAATACCAGTGAGATTTTCATAGGTAGTAAAAATTGATGACCAGAAGGTGGAAACTTCAGAGCAACTTCACCAAATGTGTAGCATGGAGGCGTGTTG